AACTGTTAAAAATAATTGTCAGTTTTTGTTGTTAAGTCGTTTGAATAATGTTTTGCTGTGCTCTTTTTATAACTTATTAGGTTTATAAACATTTCTAAGTTATTCATAGTTGTCATTTAAAACCTGCCCAATGAACCAAGTAAACTTGAGCATAGTCGTCGGTCGTAATTATAAATTGTTTGAAAGCACCTTTAAATTGTCACTAAAACCAAGTTAAGTAAGGCTTGATTTTGATTCAAAAAACGACAAGTTATTTAGCTTGATCAGAGTTTTTTTTTTTTTTTGAATGCAATTTGTAAATTAAAGTTCAAAGAAGTCTAAAATTCTTAATCTGCAGCGCAGCAGAACCGTCCAGAAAACCTTGTAATTTTTTAATTTATTATCATTTGTCGTCAGTGAAAACAAAATGTAAAACTTCATTAAAAAAACTGCATCTAAAAAAAGTTGCAGTTATCAAAAATAAACTATTAACTGTGAATTAAATTAAACGTTAAAAAAATTTTTCATTTTTTTTTTTTTTCTTAATTGCACTTAACACTGAAACTTTTTAAAACCATTTTTATCATATATTCATTAGTATTTTTTATAAAGAATAAGTTATAATCTGCTGCTTTTTTGGCAGGTTTTGTTAAAACTGACGTCGTTAAATTATTAATGTCAAACGTTTAAAAGCAGATTTTTTAAAAAAAAAGTAGAGTAAAATTGCATAAAAAGTTATAATTTAGCAGAAAATTGCTTTTTTTTTAAAGATGTTTTAAAAGCCAAAAAGAATGAAGTGAGATCTTGAACAGTCTATGACACAGTATCTAATGTTAAAAAAAGACTTGAATTTTTTGAACAAAATAATTTTTGACAGTATTAATTCGTTTCTTCGTTGTATAACCAAAAAAAACTATGATAATCTGTAGTCACTGATTGAAATATAAGGAAGAAATAGTGAGCCATAAAAACTGGACATAAAATTTGTTATTTTTCAGCCAAATTAGAGAAAAAACGAGAAAACAGCTTCTAAGGTCAGATCAACCAAAGGTTAGAAAGCATAATGTGACAGCAGCAATACAGAAAAACAACTGAAAAAAAAAAAAAAAGAATGAA